CAGATAGATAAAGACAAATAATGTTGATGCCACTTGTATGTGGAATTTAAAGAAACAAAAAACTCATAGAAACAGAGTAAGTAGTGGTTACCAGGGATCAGAGATGAGAAAAATCAAGAGATGTTGATCATAGGGTACAAAATTCTAGGGATATACTATTAATGTAAAGATAATGATTATAGTTAAAAATAATGTATTATAATACTTGACAGTTGCTAAGAGAGTAGATCTAAATGTTCTCACTACAAAAAAAGAAATAGTAGTTAAGTGACATGATACAGGTGTTAGCTAATGCTAGGTGATAATCATTTTTTAAAATATATTTTTATTGATTTCAGAGATGAAGGGAAAGGGAGAGAGAGATAGATACATCAATGATAAGAGAGAATCATCGATCAGCTACCTCCTGCACACCCCCTACTGGGAATCAAGCTAGCAACCCAGGTATGTGCTCTGACTGGGAATCAAACCGTGACCTTCTGGTTCATAGATTGGTTGATGCTCAACCACTGAACCACACTGGTCAGGTGGTGATAATCATTTTTAAATACATAAATGTATTAAATTAACATGTTCTACACCTTAAATTAGCACGGTGTTATTTCAATAAACCTGGAAAAAATAAACTCAGATAAAAGATAATGGATATTTTAAATGTTTCTCAATTTTAATTTCTATTATGATAAATCTTAATATATATAAACTATATGAACAAAAGTTATTCGGTGGTTTTTACTGTTAAGGGGATAAAAGATTCTTAAGACCAAAATTAGACTAACCTGCATTCCTTAAGACAAATAAATCTAGTAATCTCCTTATAGAGAGGACATTACAGCATAAAGCTACAACATAAACCTTTCATTCCAAATCCACTAATGAAACTTTTACATTTTATATGGGTATCAGAAAAAGAAAGTGAGGATCTCAAAGAATAATAGTTCCTATTAGAGGTTCATTAGAGTTTTTGTATAGCCTTGATCACCTGACCAGGCTTGCGAGTTAGTGAAAGGGGGGAATAAACAGCTGGATTATTGCTGGTAACTCTTTAGTTGTATATATGAAATGTGTTCACAGTAAGTGTTAACGGAAGAGATTGAAGAAAATGATTACTGAAGGTGCTCAAACAAAGCATGGGAGCATATAATTTTATTTGTGCAGCAACCGATAAGATAAAATCAAGGGTGAACAAAACTCCTTTCACAATGCTGTGGTCAATCATTAAACATGAAATGAGTTTCTGAACTCAACCTGTTTGCATTCAAATGATGAGAGAAATCATAATTTAAATAAAGAAGAAATTATAAGGTAAGTAATACTGATGTGGAGTATAAAATATTTTTTGCATTTATATGATCATCTAAATGCCTAAATAATTATAAAAAGTATTGATTCATAAATGAAGTAGGATTACTAGCAAAGTTTCCTTCAATGTATGTTTTTTTTTAATTTAAGGGATAGTTTTTCTGGATAAGAATTGTTGAGAAATCAGGGTATAGCAAGAATATAATTGTTGCTAATCTTTTCATTGTTGAGGATCTTGGTTTGAAACTCTTAAAAATGAAACTGAAATGATATTGTCAAGGTCAGAATTTGGCTTCAACCTGAAACAATGTGAACTCAAAGAAAGAAGAGGGTGAAATAGAAACTTTAGAAACACAGATAACTGCAGGCATTTTAGCCCCAAGTAGAGTAGGCCGTTGAAAAAGAGTAATTAGTGAGAGTGAGTGCTGAACCCTGGAGAAACCAGTGGTGAGATGAATAAAGTCCTTATTATAGATCCATCAATTCAGATTTTCTCATCTTCCAGTTTATGAAACTAGCTTTCATTTTTAATGCATACACTCATTTCCGATGGTTCTAGCATTTTCACATATAATTTCAAATTCAGAAGCTCTAAATGTGACACCAGGTGCCACAGTGAATCTATCATTTTAATAATATTTAAAGTACATTCATAAGCTCATTGATATTATAATCATTCTTTGTATATTTATGTGCTAGATTTTACTATAGATAAAAAAATATATATACCAGAAAATGTTGGCTAAATCTTTGCCTTCAAGAGTTTATGTTCAGTAAGAGAAAATAAAATGACAATTATCATTCAACATGCAGTGTGGTAATAACTATGAGACATGAAGTCCCTATTTTATGCATTTAGTATAAAATATTGATAAAAATAATATTAGCTGTCAATGTGATCTTGTTAAATTAAAGATATAGAATCAAGCAAAGTAACTCTATCTGCTACAGAAAACATCTAGGAAAAAAAGACATTTTTTCCTACAAAAGTAAAAAATGAACTGCAAGCCAATAGATGTAACCAGATAACAGAACCTGATAACAGAAGTTAATAGCAGAGCCTAAAAGGAAAATAAAAGAAACCTAAGGTAATTCCAATAGAACAGCTGTGGTCAAACAGTTGGAAGCAGACATTTAATAAATTGGAATTCTGGAGGTTCTTGTGGATTGCTTAGAGGGTATAATAAAATAGAAAATTTGGTAGACACATTTACATTACTTTTGGTGGAATTCTGAGTTCATGTTGTACCTATTTTCTGGGTCTCTGAGAATTACCTTAATCCAGGAGACACATGAATTTGATCATTTTATCTGACCTCTTACCTTTCTAAAAGAGATTTTTAAAATGAAGTGTTACCAAAGTCAGGAGAGTAGTAGAATTTCCCATCATTATTTGGTGAGGCACAGCTTCAGCACGCCTATGATATAATCAGGTTGCTAGGAATTGTGGAGAATAATTCAGGAGAAGACATCTACAATACCCTTTTAACAATAAACATTCATTTAAAAAAAACACTGCAGCCCCGGCCGGGTGGCTCAGTTGGTTGCAGCATCATTCCGTACACCAAGAGCTTTTGAGTTCAATTCCCAGTCAGGGTACATACCTAGGTTGCAGGTTCTATCCCTGGCCAGGTTTCTTACAGGAAGCAAGCGATTGATGTTTCTCTCTCTTACTCTCTTTTTAAAATCAATAAGCATATCCTAGGGTGAGGATTAAAAAACATACACACACACAACACAGCAGAAATGTTGGATGATGATATGGAGTTAAATACAAATTAGGCACCACAGATAATACATACTATTGATAGTGTCCAAGAAGAAAGCACAATATTTTCTTTTTAAGTGAACAAGGTAGATTATGATAAAAGATTACTTTTAAAGTCACAGATGAGGGCGAGATTCCAAGGTTATTGTTTTTCCCAAGTGTCCTCAGGCAAGTGCTATATTCCTTCTGGCTCTCAATTTTTCAACTATACGGAAAATGTATTTTCCCTTGCACAGCCTTTTTCATTGAATTTTTTTGAGGATCAAATGATAAAACATATGAACTAAACAGAACTATAAAAGATTAAATGAGCATCTGTATTTTAATATACTTGCTTAGGAACATAGTGTGAGAAAAAAATTAGGAAAACACTAATGGAAGGAAAACAGGACATATTCTGTAACATATAGTTTGATTTTGAGGGTATTTCTTATTTACAATCACAGTGCTTTAGTTTTATATTTTATTACCTCTTCAAAAAAATTCCCATTTTTACTCAGAGTTAAAATCTGCAGTTTATACTTTTGATGTTGGAGTAATATAATTTAACAATGAAAAGAAACTTATTTATGGTGAAAGACTTACTTACATTTCAATATTATATCATAAAATTGTTAGGCTTTCTCTAAATACTTTTGCAACTTTATGTCATATATATATATATATATATATATATATATATATATATATATATATGCCTAAGCGACAGTCTGACCGTCCGACCGGTAGCTATGGCATGCAATGACCACCAGGAGGCAGATGTTCTGACTGGAAGCTGTGACACACACTGACCACCAGGGGGCAGGTGCTTAATGCAGAAGCTGCCGAGCTGTGGTGACTTGGCAGCTGCGGTTCTCAGGTAATGCACCTGGAACCAGAGAGGAAGGAGACCAATTCCAGGGTGCATCACACAAGAACCGCCCTCTTGCAATCTGGGACCCCTTGGGGGGATGTCAGGGAGCCGGTTTCAGCCTGATACCCACAGACCAGGCCAAGGGACCCCAGACTGAGGGCCTGTAGTTAACATATAAAGTGGAGTCTAATTTAGTAAGTTACCATTAACAATATGACTGTCATCAGACTGGAAATTTCTACTGGTGAAAACTAGCACATTCTCTCCCCAAAGGCTGGCTTATATAGAAATTCAAATTATAATCAATTGTTTGCTTGGGCAACTCTGAAGCAGGAAAAGAGGAATATTCTAACTTGAATATTTACTGGCAATAGACCAAGATGATGAGAATCATTCACTGTTATGTTGGAGATCATCTATCTCAAAATTTCCTAAATGATATTGCAATGGGCTGATAAAAGTGATATGCTCTGTAAACCATAATGTGTAATAAATTAATTCTAGAAATGTGTTTCCTCACTGCAGGACTTCTCACAGTTTTTAATGTGCCAGTGTTTTTCTTGATGTCTCAGTGGGAAATCTCATAAGCTCTGTTTCCAAAACAGATTCAGGGGTAGGGGGTACAGCGATCTGATATCTTCCTGTACTAGAGATCCAGAAAGACCAGATTTAGACATTATAATACTCAAAAGGCTCCAGATACTTTTCTCAAGATGTGTGGACATCTCTTTTGAGATGTGTGACATGCCCAACAAGTACAATCAATCAGTGAACTTCAAACTAGCGAGAATATAAGCAGAAATTAACTCCCTGGATTGTTAACTGTGGCAATGGTATGCGAGAGCTACCAAGGACACAAGAATGGAACAGACATAGAGGAAAGCAAACTTGGAACAGGAAGAAAAGAAAACCAAGTTCTGATGATTAGCACTGGAATCATAGGTCAAGCAGTGTCTGAAGTCAACTATACTTTTTTTCCAATCAACACAAGAGAAACTTTATTGAGGCTCATGGTCACAGGGTTCAGAGTTCAGGTAGAAGGCTTCCCTGTGGACCCAAGGAGGTAGTAGAGGGGCCTTATTTGACCTCCTTCTTAGGGCACAGGTTGTTGGTATGGTCACACTTCTTCTTGTGGAAGTTGACAGTACGTGGATGCAGGTGGGAGTAACCCTTGTGACAGATCATCTTATCACAGTTGTACTTCTGGGCAAGCTGGTGGAGGGCGGGTTTGATGATACCACCCCTCAGACGAAGCACCAAGTGCAGGGTGGACACTTTCTGAATGTTGCAGTCTGTGAGAGTGCGGCCATCCTCTAGCTGTTTGCCCACAGAAATCAGACACTGCTGTTCAGGTAGGATGCCTTCCTTGTCTTGGATTTTAGCTTTGATATTCTCAATGGTGTCACTGGGCTCAACCTCAAGGTTGATGGTCTTGCCAGTCAGGGTCTCTCTCTCTCTCTTTCCCCTCCCGCTCCTAAACCAACTTGAAACCCAAATAACCTTTACTAACAAGGGCAAAATTAGAAGAGGTTCCTCAACTTTAGTCAATGGCTGATATTTTGTACATATTAATAACCCTTAAAATTACCACATTCTTTATACATGTAAGTTATATCCTATATAATAAAAGGATAATGTGCAAATTGACCCTAACAGTGGAATGACCTGTGGCTATGATGCATACTAACCACCAGGGGGTAGATGCTAAACACCTAAACACAGGAGCTGCCCCCTGGTGGTCAGTGCACTCCCACAGGGGGAGCTCCACTCAGTCACAAGCCCTAAGGATGTCCGACTGCAGGGAGCAGGCTTAAGCTGTCAGTCAGACATCCCCCAAGGGCTCCCAGGCTGCCAGAGGATTGTCTGACTGCCAGCTTAGGCCTGATCCCTCGGGGAGTGAGCCTAAGCCCTAAGCCAGCAGGTGGACATCCCCTGAGTGGTTCTGGACTGTAAGAGGGCACAGGCCGGGCTGAGGGGACCCCCCCCCCAAGTGCATGAATTTTCATCCACTGGGCCTCTAGTATTATATATAAAGACAATACCTTGGGACATGTTTTGCTCTTACCATCTAGCTCATTGAGGTGATTTATTTTATCTCTGCTCTGACTCAATATGTATTTGTTTTAGATTTATTAATCAAGGGATTTTGTTTATTTGCAAGTTTTCCTCATTTTTTCCCCTCTGTACTACTGCATTTGAAGCATAATAATGAATCCAATGAAATAGTTCTGACCAGCTATTTTTATGAAAATCTCTCTGACTCAGTGGGGTGCTTTTTGCTATTAGGACTGCAGCACATAGTATCTGTAAACTAAGCACACCCAACAGTATCTGGCACCTAATAGGCTTGGAGGCTGTTGGATTTCATCCTAGAAAAAGTAGTCAATCTGCTATTTTCTATTGCTATGGGTATTGCTCTCTTTGGACTGCACATGTGCTCAAAAATTTGGTCTGCCAGTCCCTCTCCCCCTCTCTCCAAGAAAAGATGTTCCTACAGTGAGTGATGTTTTTAAGAAATAAATATGTTAAAATTGTTAATAACTGATACACTATTATGTTGAGGAGACAGAGGGAAGCTAGACAGACAGGGACTGGTACCAGGGGGGTGGGAATAAAGCCAGGGAATCCAACTATGTGGAGTTACTAAGGCACCCCAACTGGGCTTGGAAGGGAGGGCATGCTGGAGAGACATGAGCTTTAAAATATATGAGTGTTGCTGAGACAGACGATGTACAGATTACCAATCACAAGACAGTGAGGCGTATAACCATTCCCAAGAATGTTATCAAGGCAGAATTCGTTGAAAAGACCAATCAGTGAAAATATTTTCTTGGAGGTGGAAAATATGGAATGCCCTAAACTTAAATCTGAACTCTAGTTAATTATAAGTTTAATTAACTGGATGTAGTAAGAATTAGAAAGAAAAAGGCTGATTATCCCATGTCTTATGGCAATAAAATGTATATTCATTATTAGCCTTAGAACGTATTAACTGGAACTGCTAAGGCTTAGCTTGTCCTTAATGGTTTTAAACAATAGTGTTACATATTTCTATGTACTATTACCCCAGATGCCACATATTATGGAAGCAGAATGACATTGTCATTTAGGTCTAACAAGTAAAAAAATAAAAATAAAAAAGTAAACTTGACAGAATTTTATTCCTCATAGAGCAGTTAAAAAATACCTTTCATTTATCCTGCATTTTCCACACATTGGTGTCTTTCTTAACTCTAACCCCTCAAGGTTGGCAGAGACTGTAATTTTGCTTAATAGAGATATATCGCTCATGAGGCATGATTCTTCTCAGTACAAAATCATGATTCTACCAATCACAAGGAGCTGCTTTGTGACACTTAGAGAAGCACTTCATTTCCAGAAGGTGGTGCTCTAGAATAGTTGGAAACAGGTTTGCTTCCAACTGAAACAAAGCAGACCTCCATTCATTAGCATCCAAGTTAACTGAAATTCTAAAACACAGAGTCCATGTTCAAACCAAAAAAAAAAATGCCCTGCTTCCCTTTCTTTGATAACATTTAAAACTCTAAATCTATTTTCTATGCCGGTGACCTAACTTATTGTCTGGGAAAATTAGCAACACAATTGTTTAGAAATTGCAGCATTAAAACAAAATAGACAAAAACATAAGGGGACTTGATAGAAAAGTAAGCCAGTATTACATAACACTGTATTATTTCTGTTTTGCCTTTTAATAAAGTTCATTAATAATTAAATGAACATTTGAAGCCATGCAATTGTATTATATGCAAAATCAGATAGTTATGGAAACTTGTATCTCCCTATGCTTACTAAGAATATATCTGAAATTATAAAAACCTTGGCCTATAAAAAGCATATGGAGAAGCTGAAAAAAGAGTAGAAATTTAAAAGAGACATAAAAAAAAATTCTTCAGTGGAGAAAGGACAATTTTGCCTAGTGAAAATGTACGTGGAATTATAGAGGTAATAAAGTTTGACTACAATAAATTGATCCATTTTCTATGCAGAGACAGATGGGGAACATTTGTGATTTTGCCTGAGATTGTAAATATTTCCAGCACATTTTTATTTCTGTCAGCAATAAGAATTTATTCAATGGTCAAAAGTAAACCGTATGTAGAATGCCAAAGTCCACTTAAACTGTAAACTAATAATTTTCTGAAAGAATTGGAAGTCTTAGTCATAATCATTTATATCCTGAGAGCTACTTGTCTATTTGAGTATTGTTGTTTACCAGTTGTTATAATATGCAAACCACTAATGCATCTTTAAAATAAATAACTGTAAGTATGTGAAATTATAGGCTGACTTGAGATAAATGATGTAAAATGTATTTTGTGCAGCACTTAGTATCACAAATGCATCAATGCATCTCACTCTTACTTTACTAAGGTTTTACATAGTTTAAAATAGTTGACGAGATCAAGAATAGAGTCCCCTCAAACATTTAAATACTAGAGGCCTGGTGCACAAATTCGTGCACCAGTGGGGTCCCTCGGCCTGGCCTGAAGAATTGGGGTGAAACTGCTCTCCAACATCCCCCGAGGAGTCCTGGATTATGAGAGGGCACAGGCCAGACCAAGAGACCCCACCAGTGCACGATTGGGGCTGGGGAGGGACATGGGAGGTTGGCCAGCCAGGGAGGGACTACGGGAGGGCTCCAGGACATGTCCAGCCCATCTCGCTCAGTCCCGGCTGGACCCAGCAGCAAGCTAAACTACCTGTCAGAGCGTCTGCCCCTAGTGGTCAGTGCACATCATGGTGAGCAGTTGAGCGACCTTAACATATCATTAGTATATTACCCTTTGATTGGTTGAGCAGCCTACCAGTTGACTGAACACTTAGCATATTAGGCTTTTATTATATAGGATGCATGCTGTTGTATTAAGTCTGTCTTTCTTGAAATATGTACCAAAAATGTTTGGATTATTCAAAATTAATTATCTGTTGTCTTGGTTAAATTACAACTTCTCTGTAGTGTCAGTTCACAATGCATTTTAGAAATATATACCACACCCATTTGTAAGGATTTGGATGGATGCTTGTATTAAACCAGTAACTAACTTATCTGAAGGGAGGAAAACAGAGGGGGACAAGATTACTTGTGACCCTTTGGCAATATTAATATCTCTACTAATAAACCATATCTAAATGTAATAAATCCTATTCAAATTTTTAAATATGTGAATTACATTTATTTTTCTTTAAACTTGTCCTCAATTTGAGTTGTTTATACAAAATGGATATAAAGAAAATTCAGTTACAAAGCTATAAAATGCAACTCTTTCAGATATTAACATCTGAAATTAAGTAGACCAAATATTCAAATTCAAATCAATGTTTCCAGTTCTCAGACAAATGTAGACATACATTACAAAATTTTCTAAGCAGGGTATAACTACTTATGTACAGGCCACAATTGCAGATAGAACTAACACAGTATACATTCCTGACTCTCAATTTTGCTCAAAGATTGAGGTGAGGAGAGATCATTATATTTTAATCAAACTCAACATAATTATTCACTGTGTACATTTAATTATAAGATAAAATGTAACATCTTAAATAAATTTTATATTTGCTATGTACCAGTACAGACTCTTTTGCCAATAGGGTACTAATTGGGAAAGTTTAAGAAAAAAATGATGAGCGTCTATTCTCCCCCAGATGATATATTTTTTTAGAACTTCAAACTCATCTTTACTTAAGTCAATGTTACCTACAATGTGTATGTTAATAAAAAATTAGGATAATCATTATATTAAAAATTTAAGATTGTAATTACTCTGAAATTATATCACTTGTGAAGAGACATATTTTTTCAAAGATTATTTTATTTGATCCTAAAATACCCATAGATGATTGATTTGGAATACATTATTCTATCTTTAAAGAGAGGCTAATCAACCAAAATGGGATGTCAAAAAAATGTAAGTAAAAATTAATCTGTTATGGGACTATCAGTTCTGGCCATGATAGAGTAATTTTCATCAAATGTACAATTATGCTGTGTATAATTGCAAAATTGGACAAAATTGGAAAACATAGAACTCAGGAGTGTGATCATTAACTGGAAGCAAATACATAAAAATGAGGTCTACTTTGGATTGTTCTGTCTTTTTGTTAAGAATCACTGTCTAATTTAAGAAGTGGCGTCCAAACACAGAACAGCAACTCCTTGAGTAAAAGAAATAAAGATTGGATTTCTGGGCCACCAAGGTAACATCAATGATGAGAGAGAATCATTGATTGGCTGCCTCCTGTTATTTGTAGGGAAGGGTACCAGAGAGAAGGTAGCTGGACAGAGAACTCTTCCAATCTGAGTCAGTGTCCTCTCGAGTCTTTGTTCAAATGTTAAGCTCTCCATGCAGGGAGAGACACTTCAGACTGGCACACTGCTACAAAGCTACAAACCCATCAAAGGTTCTGGGCAGAGCAGTGCTGGACCACATTATCGACTTCCCCAGCCAGAAAGGAAAAGCCTTATTGAATACCAGAGGAATTCAGTTGAAACTCCAGAATTGCCAGGGCTCAGGAACAAGGCTGATCTATCCCCTACTGTAACCAAGCCCAATATGATCAAGCTGAGCCACTAATAAAATCACTTGCAGGCCAGAAGCCAAATTAAAGAGTCTTCACAGTCTCCTGCCATAGTAGAGAATATCTATGAAGGAGGAACTCATCTGAGGGGGTAGAATTTAGAACAGTAATTGTGTCTAGGAGCAGAAGTGGGGATTTCTTGGGAAAGGCATGATGCCATTTTCCCTGGGAAAATGAAAATGACCGATATCTGGACAGGGCTCTGGGTTAAACAGGTATAGGTATTTTTCAAAACTCATCAAACTATACACTGAAGACCTATACATTTCACTGTATGTAAACTATGTTTTAAAAAATAACATATTCAAACAAAATAATAGAAAAAGGGAGGCGTTTAAAAAATGTGTTTAATTTTTTTATGAGACAATATAGAAATTTTATTCCTTGCTGTATTTATTTGGCTCCAGAGGACAACAAAATGAGTAAAGGAATAAAGGTCAATAATTTAAAAAAAACGTTTTTGTGAATGCATATATTTAGTAGAAACAATGTAATAAGGGTGTTCTAATACAAATAGGCCCAGCACCAGGATCAAGATCTATTGACAATGAAATCTTAAAATAAACATATTGGTGCTTAGTATGTTCAAAAAGCAAGAGGACGTGAATAAAACACTGACTCTATAGTATAACAGGAAAGTAAAAATATATACGTGCAAATTGTAATACAAGGCAGGAAGTGATACAGCATGGGGCAAAAGTAGGTTTACAGTTGTGTGTCTACAAATCACAGTTTATTCTTGTAGTATCATTTATTAATTATTGTATAATTTCCATACAAGCAACTGTAAATCTCCTTTTGCCTCACCCTGTATATGCCTCAAAATTTGTTGAGATAAAAAGTAATGCAATTTCAGAACAACAGAAGATATTAAGAATGGTTTTATCTGAATAACTTAAACCCCAAAAGGTAAAAATAGACTCACAAGGAAAATAGCCTTCAGGTGTCCATGGCCACTGTATTCTGTGGTTGTAGCTCAATGATCCCCAAAGCCTGAAAGTATTCACGTATATCTCAAATGTCCACAATATAATTCCAGTTTATCACTATCCTTATGTTCAAATTCTAATTATGGATGGTACAGTAAAGCATAACAATTAGTAAATCAACTTAGCCAAAAGCCAATCTGTTAACTTCAACAAATTTTCTTTTAATATATTTTTATTGATTTCAGAGAGGAAGGGAGAGAGAGATAGAAACATCAATGATGAGAGAGAATCATTGATCGGCTGCCTCCTGCACACCCCACAATGGGGATCAAACGCCCAATCCAGACATGTGCCCTGACTGGGCATCAAACCATGATGTCCTGGTTCATAGGTTGATGCTCAACCATTGAGCCACTCTGGCTGGGCAACAAATGTTCTTTAACTTTCAAGAGGGTTGTTAGCCACATGTTGTCTTCTGATCTCAACTCCTTAAGCTTCATATCTCAGCTCTACTCTCCCCCTGGCAACCCTATGAGCCATAGGCAGTGAGAATTTTCTCATGCTGCTCCAAAGAGAAAAAGTGCATATTAAGCTTGGATTTGAGAAACACAAGCAATTTACTCTAATCAATTTAAGGATGGGGGAGGAATATTTGTATTTTTTTAATGTAGAGGAATTTTCTCAGCCTGTCTTATTAAGCTGAGAAAAAGTCTAAAATCCATTTAAAATCAATCCTCTATTTTTTTGTGTGCACTTTGTACTCTAAACATTAAATTTACATACACTTAATGATCTAAGATAGTTTTTAGTTGCAATTGCTTTCTAGAATGGATTATCTAGACTTTATAAGATCACATTTCAAGTTAGTCCATGTATGACCATTATTTCTCAGCTTTATACCAAACTATCTGAAAATATAGTCTAACATGTGAGCCTATGACAGAATATTTATTGGAATCACTGTAATAATTACTGGCCTCAACATTCAATAGATAAATTCTTTACTGTAAATATTTTCTGAAAAATAATTATTTGAGAAAAATTAAATTTTTATTCTAACTTTGTGGAATATCAATATTTTGTACTATTCATATAGAAATAGTTTGAATCTCTGATCCAAATTTTTAAGTAATGTAAGATTTTAAGACAAAGAATCATTTGAATCTATGTAAACTGTGCTTATGTTGTTTTAATCCAAACTCAAGATACCCAAAATATAGCAGTGTAAACAAAAATAATTCTCTCTCCCTCTCTTCCTTATATCTAAGATAAAGATAAGAATCGGCACTTCAGTTTTGTCATCCTTGGTACTCTATTCATTACCATCTGCTGTGTGTGTGTGTGTGTGTGTGTGTGTGTGTGTGTGTTTGGAGAGGGGCAGACGGGAGGGTGAACATGAAGTCCTATTAAGGGCACAACGGGGAGAATCACATATCACTTCTTTTCACATATCATTGAATAGAACTAGTAACTTGCCCACATCTAGTTGAAAAGTAAGCTGGGAATGTGGCCTTTGACTGGATGGCCATCTACTGTCAGAGCTGAAAACTTGCAGTCCACTCCCAAATAAAGTCCCATTCAAAAAAATGGAAGAGTACAGTATTTTAGTAGTAAGTATAGCCAGCTTCCAAAAAAATTGAAAGAATAGGAATAGCAGAGCTGTCCTGTTCAAAGCAATAATCAAATCCTACCAGATAGGAATTTCAAACATTCCCTGCTAAGGCATTTCCTTGGTAAAATCCTGATTGTATTATCAGAGAGTAATTCCTTTGTCCCTTGTCATTTATGGTTCCTGTTTTCTTGACTTTGGGATATTTCTTTTTGTTACTTCTACTCTCATAGAGACTGGTTTGCTTGTGACCACCCTGATTTATGCTCATGAATTCTTTGTTCTAAAAACTTCTTAAGCATGTGGGGTCTCTGACTCATACATTCAGGGTACCATACATATGTATGCATTACATTTGACTATCTTCTCTTGCTAATCTATCTCATATCTGTTTGATTATTAGGCCAGCCAGAAGAACCTTGAGGGTGGAGGAAAGTTTGTTAGTCCTGCACAGTGGCTCGGGGAGCAGGATAAACTCACTGGCTGGAACTCTGCACTTCGCCACACGGTGCAGCAGACGAGGAGATCCTGGGGCCTCTGACACAGGCCAGCAGAAGGTAAGGGTTCTTACCCCGCCACACATACTCAGGTTTCTCTGCAGGATCCAGTGGGAGCAGAGACTGTGAGAATCCTTTTCTTTTTTCAAAATTTTGATCATCAGAAGAAAATATTTGTGAAACTAGTGATTTTTGATGACCTGGTATGAGTATTCATGAGTTTGTTTGTTTTTGTCTTTGTCTTGTTTCTCCCCCTTTATCTTGTTGTAAGTCCTGAATAGTTGGCCTTATGCTAGTGAGAATATTTTCTCTCTGGCTTCTACCATCCAGGGTGCACTTGCCAAGGTTCCCCTTGCTCTCTATCCGGCCATGAGAGACTCTCCAGGGAGATTTCTGTGTCTGTCTTGTTCCTCCCAGACATGGTCTCAAGGGGGGAAAGCATGTGATTGCCCGTGTGATGGGACAGCTGTTTAAACACAGGGCCCCCCTTCTTTCTAAGGCTAACTCTGGGAAGACACTTTATCTGGTGAGGGTTGCATCTTTCTGCCTTTTCCCTGGGGCCTTTTGCATCCACAGTACTGGTTTGAGTCGCTATAGATCCTACCATCAAAGCCAGATAGCGGATCCTTTTAATTGAAAAGAAAGAAAAAATGTTAAAGGGCCCTCATCTACACTAATAAAAGAGAAACATGGTAATTAGCGTACGACCGCTACCCTTTTCATTGGCTAATCAGTGAGTATATGCAAATTAACTGTCAGCCAAGATGGCGGCCAGCAGCCAGGCAGCTGGAAGCGAACATGAGGTTTGCTTGCTTCAGTGACTGCAGACTCCAACGTTCCCCGCCTGCGCTGCCAGCCTCTCAGTTGCAACTCTAAGCAACTATGTACTATGTTGCAAATAAGAAGGTAAACAAAACCCCAGAAACCAGCTGTCAGTCAGCTCCGGACCGCAACATTGTATCGATGTTTTCAGCAGCGAGGCCTCAGAGCTAAAGCTGGCCCAGAATAAAAAAAAAAAAAAAAAAAACAAGGAGCGGTTGGGAGCTTTTAATCATCTGCCAGCCAGAAAACAGCCCTCAGCCCCTCACCCAAACTGGCCAGGCACCCCAGTGGGGACCCCCACCCTGATCCAGGACACCCTTCAGGGCAAACCAGCCAGCCCCTACCCATGCACCAGGCCTCTATCCTATATAGTAAAAGGGTAATATGCCTCCCGGCACTGGGATCAGCGGAGCTGCGAGGCCTCCCAGCACCGGGATCAGCGTGACAGGGGGCTGCGCCCAAACCCCCCGATCGCCCTGGGGCTCTGTGTATGACAGGGGGCGGGGCCACAACCTCCCTATCTGCCCTGCTCTGTTCGTGACAGGGGAAGGTGCCCCAACCCCTGATCAGCCCTGCTCTGTGCCTGATAGGGGGGAGCTCCCCAATCCCCTGATCGCCCTGCGGCTCTGTGTTTGACAGGGTGCAGCGCACCAACCCCCTGATCGGCCCTGCTCTGTGTGTGACAGGGTGCGGCGCCCCAACCCCCCCCCCCCCCACGGGCCCTGCTCTGTGTGTGACAGGGTAGAGCCATAACCTCACCATCGGCCCTGCCGCGAGTGTGACAGGGTGTAGCGCCCCAACCCCCTAATCCACCCTGCTCTGTGTGTGACAGGGGGCGGTGCCCCAACTCCCCTATCAGCCCTGCTCTGTGCATGACAGGGGGGAGCTCCTCAACCCCCTGATTGACCTTGCTCTGTGCATGACAGGGGGGAGCTCCCCAACCCCCTGATTGACCCTGCTCTGTGTGTGACAGGGTACGGAGCCCCAACCCCCCT